TTTAACCACCCCATATGGGCATATAATTAAAATTAGACCTCGAAGGTTTCAATACCCTCTCAATAACTTCGAAATCCCAGCGCTGAAGTTGTTCCAGAGTTAAAAGTTACTGTAGTGGTGATAAACCAGATACCGTAATCGAGGACCTTCAGGTTTTCGTCTTACGACCGGTTTGGAAGATTTCCGTTTTTCTATGTGAATCAGATAGTGCGCCATCCACGCTTAGCCGCCCGGAGCGTCCCAGTTGTGTAATTTCCTTCAAGTGGCTAAATTGATTGTTTTTATCGATTTTGAGGACCATTCGTCCTCCGTCAGCTCCTCGTATGTGTTTGTTCCAAACTGTATATACGGTTTCTATAGTACCCGGAGACTTCACCCTCCACCCGCCAGCAGTTTCAGGGTTGATTTACTGAGGGATTTAATCAATCCTTTTTTTATCACAAAGAATATCACTTCCGGTGTTAATTGGGCTTTCTACTACTGGCTATGTGTTTGGATTGACATTGATTTTTGAGGAAATCGATTCCATTGATGACTTTAAAGCATGAAATTGCTATCGATATTTTGTTTGAGTACTTCGAATAAGATAATTGTATTGAAATATGGCTTGTGTTATCAGTAGTGCGTGAAAGTCGAGGTTGGCTGAGTTCTTGAGGAGACACACAGGCTGGCCATTAAATGTCTTTCGCATTAAGGTAATCAATAATGCGCGTTGTTTTTGAGAACTGCGTCCATTGACTCCACGGGGGCTGGAGATGATCGGCGCAACTTTCTACTCGCAACTGCCTGTCCATGGGTTCCATTGATTTGTTTGTAATTCGTGACGTGGAGCGCAAGTTCCTTGCGCCATTCGTGCAGCTTCTGCCCCCTCATAAGGCACAACGGCTAGGTTGACGTCGTCGAACCTTTCCAGAAGGACTTTAAAACCCTTTCGGTTCTATTCTACAAATCTGCTAACAGGTCTATTCCATTTAGGGGGGCATCATGATGCAGTTGTCTCGAAGGCGAAACTTAGTGTCGAAGTTCGAAACATTCCACTTGCCTTTTCATCCAGCATAGGGTCAGGTCCTATCGTTGCTACTTTTCGAAAAGTTTTTACGACCCCCCTCCTTCAGGAAAAGTTTCCTACGACCCCCCCCCCTTTCCGACCAATTTTTACCCCAAAAAATTACCGTCGAGCGGGGGGGTATATACTTCCCTTAAAACCGCAAAAATTCCCTACATTTCCTTGCAATTCCCTATGTTTTACCCATATTTCACTGCTCCATTTTCTAGGGGAGGGGGGGGGTGACGCAAGTACGACCCCCCCTAATAAACTCACGTCAAAATAACGACCCCCCGTGCTAACTTGTACGCACATCGGGTTGACCCTGGTGGCGGAGTAACCCTAGCTTCCTGGAAAAAGCTGCATCCATGCATGGCGCCCCCCTAACTGGAACCAGGCCCCTGCGACTGCTTTTAGATGGCCACCTGTAAAGCCTGGCCGATTACTCTTACCAACTCCGTCATATTTTATGAGCGTGATTATTGAAAAAATCTCGTGGACGCTTCATTAATGAGTATTTTATATTATTTGTGATTTTTGGTTATGTTTTGTTAAGACATGTTTAAATGTCACGGTGTTCGTGAAGGTTTTTTACGCAAATGCGACCTCAAATCTGGCGCTCCAATGTCCTGGAGTTGGGGTTGGGGGGGGGGGGGCATTGAAAACGGGGCATTAGAGAACCGCTAGTAGGTGACACTAGAGCTTAGTTCCAAGGGGCTGTGATTCAATCCTCCCTCAAGGGGCTGGGGGACGAAACCCTTTGAATTTTTGTTTGGCACGATAGTTTCTTCATTTTCAGTGCATGTTTACTTTGATCTACATACATACATTAGATGTAAGGCCCTTTATCAGGACATTCCCAGTTGGGAAGATAGAGAAGCTTTAAAGAAATTTTTGTCCCCCAACCCTTTGGGGGAGGATTGAATCCGGCCCCAGAAGAGGGGGGAACGCCAGGGAGAATAAAAATTGCTCACATCCTCATGGAGATCCTTCCTCCCTAAAGCTTAATAGTCCAATAGCACGTATGAGTGCTTCGCATCGCATTGAAAGTCCCCCCCCCCAACGATACGAGCGCCCTGAATTTTCTATGGGGTTAATCTTTTAGAAATAATATACTGGTTTTTGCTTTCTGCGCAAATTTGTGTACACGGCCTCGTAAAGGAATTTGTGAGTAATATTCAGTAAACAACTACCGATCGATTCGGCTCAAATATAGGCGAATATGTAGTGTGGGCTTTGTTTGACTACGTGTCATTTAGCCGTCGAATTTTCGTCCGTCGATCGACTTCTTTTCAGTGTCCTTTGAGGTTAGTTGGCTGACTGGTTGGCAAGGAGCAGCGCTGTGGGTGTTGGTGTCGGTCGATTCGTCACTTGATTACCTCTTCGGAGTGCCCGTTATCGATTTCCCCGCTCACTTGACGCCTCTTCACCTAGTTCAGCAATCAATCGCTTGATTGATCACGGTCAGTCGATAGATCGTGTAGCGCTTCAATCACTTTGTAGCTTTTGATCACCAAGCCCAATAAGGTGGGATGTGTAGATCAAACGATTCGATCGATTATCAATGAGGGCATTTGGCGAAACTCCGACGAACTTCATTGTCGCCCGCCGCTGGTTTGCCCATATTTGACTTCATCATGGGCCATCATCGGACTCGTAGCATGCGGCGCAAGAAAGTTGACTGTTCAAGGAAACCTCAAATATTAGGACTAAAAAGGCTGCTCCATGTCCGCTAATCCCAAACTGCGCGAATTTGCTCTTTGGCCCATAGCTATGCTTCCCCGAAGCTAAGTGATCCAAAGTTTCCTTTAAATTTATTTGTTTTGAACGATATAGTTTCTTCATTTTCAGTGCATGTTTACTTTTACCTACATACATACATTAAATGTAGGCCTTTATCAGGGCAATCCCAGATGGGAAGACAGAGAAAATTTAAAGGACTTTTCGTCCCCCAACCCTTCGGGGAGGATAGCATACGGCCCCAGGCTTATGCACCTATTGGACGACATCAGGTTTTGCCCTTCAATGTGCCGTCATCTTACAACCATGCCAACTAAACGTTGTCACTGCTTTTGTCTCATTTTTGGGTTAAATTTTAGATTAGCGTCGAGTTTTAGGCGCAATGTGCCTTGGAGGTGGGGGCGCGGGAATATATAGGAAGACCACTAGGGCTAAGCACAACGTAGCAGGGCAAATCCTGGCTGATGTGAGAACTTCCTCTTCATTCTTCCCTTTGAGGCTGTACGAGCGTTCACTTCATTCTGACGCAGTTATTACAGACTGCCCCCCCCCCCGAAGAAACCCACATTGCGCCGAATTGTAGAAGATAGTTGTTGGCGAAAGTGTAGCTGGAGGAGAAGGCATTGCGGCGCAATAGTTCGTCTCCGCAACAGTTATCAAAGTTTTTCGCAGAGGAGTAGGGGGAAGGGGACAACTCCGAGGCAGATAACCATCTAGCGTGTGCAACAAGAGAAATGAGTCAGAAAATAAAAATATTTGTCATGGTTTCGAAAGCCTTATGCGCTCTGCGTTACACCCACTCCCCCCTCCCCGCTTCCCCTACCCAACTACCCCTTAGCCGCTTATTATTACTTTTGAATTGCTACTAAATTCATACCTGAAAAGATAATGGTCCTGTTTCTCAGGGCATTGCACTTACATTTAGCGGCGCAATAATTCCATCATATTTTAAGGTTAGGAATGATCTAGGCATTGTTGCTTGTACATTATATATTACATTAGATCTACTCCAGTCTTTTGCGAAGGACATACTATTTTTGAAAACAATCAGCTGGGAAGTGGGCACAAATTCATAGTGTGAACAAGTTGTGTGTGGCCGATGGGCACTCGTGATACGTTTTCTACCCTTTTCAGCTGAGAGAGCTTCGCTGCGTTGAGAACTCGTCCGCTATTTTTTCCGGTTTAAATAGCGACGAGTAGAGAAATGAGCAGTGGTGAACTAGTTCACAATGTTAGCCATGCCTTGACAGCCGTTCTTTTGAAAATTTGTCGGCCCATCTGCGAGGAATCAAGGCCACGCCGGGCCGCCATTAGCGGAACCTTGAGCATATGACCACAAAAGGAAGGTACTAGATCTTTTCAAGTGAAGATCACTTTTGAAAGAATTTGCACGATTTCTGCTACTATCAAGAGTTAGTCTCTATGGATTTGGTGATTCTTCCTGATAACTTACCACGATTTCACGACCGTCAAGGTTTCATTATCCTTCAACTTTTTATTATCTTTTCTGGCATCTGAAGCTTCTTGCGAAGACATCTTGTTTGAGAACAGAGAGTAACTTGTGGTGTCTCATTACCTCCTAATCAGTGCATTGTGTTTTTCGCCCTTCACTATCTTATACGTGTTCATTTGAAATCTTCTTCAGAAGCGGTTCCTTTTATTCGTGCATTTTTCGTGTACTTGTGATAGTCGAGTTGAACGCAGGGCTACGACTCTGAAGAGAACTTGTATCCCATCCAATCCTGTCACTAGCCTCATATTTACCGAGCTCAACCTTCTTGAGGTTCCTTTTGTAATTTCATTCCGCGTAGGTTCGTGATAGTCCTAATTTCCTCCTTGGAATTCTCTGCAAGTTGATCACCTTTTCCCCATTCGTTTTCTTAACTCTGTTCAAAATTCGAGACACTTGTCGTGCGTGTTCTTTCGTTCTGTATCGTTGCGACCGTCACATTTTTCTCTGATATGATGAGTATTATACTTCATTTCAGTTGATCATCCTGTCTGGTTTTCGACTGGTGCATCGCGTTCTGAGAGGTGTCCCGTTCATCACTCCCACTGAAGATTTCACTCTTCCTGATGAGCTGTGATAGCCCTGTGTACCATTACTGATCTACGTGGAGCCACTTGATCAGGAACCGTCAGTAGCTGTTGGTTTGTGTGTACCGACCACTTATATTTATCGTCAGTTATTGATTATTCGGAGCGATTTCGCTCGATGACCATGGCACATGTGGACAGTGAACGTCCGATGTCAAATGGATGCGAAAATAATGGCGACGCCATGCTCGAGCCAATGGATTTAAGTTCGCCTGTAAGTCAATAATAATTCAAATCAATAACAAGATTTTTTTATTATGAAGTTTGGGAAAATTTCCATTTTATTTATTTATATTAATTGCGCTGCACAAGGCGCGCGTAAGAAACAAAAAAGGATCATCATATTGGCGCAGTGCACTTCTATGAATTGTAGCTGAACAGTTCCTTTGCGCAAGGCGTTTTATTTGTTTTAAAAATATAAAAGACAGGGAAGACGCGAGTCGCTTAGATTTAAGATTAATGAACGTAGATCCAGCTCGACCTTCAGAGTTCTGCCAACATAGTGAACTTTGGCTTAGCGAATTGGCTGATACAGGTGTTGGATGACCACAGTCGGCAGTAACTGCTGCGCCAGAATACCCTCTCAAATACGCCAAAGCTCCCTCCATATCGCGTCTTTAACAAATAAGGTCTTCATCGTGCCTAGCTTTTCCGAAACGGTTTTCCGATTATATAGGGGCACATGAATGAATCATCGACACTTTACTTTTCTTGGGCGCCCCCTTAAAACACAATGGATGAAATGTAGGTCCATGGTGTGATACGCATGGTGGCAAAATTTTGCATTTTCGACTGATGCTTGCATGATTTCGCAAAATGGTACCCGCGGGTAGTAGTAGATCCATATATAGACCACCAGAATCTGACACTGAGTAAATTTTACCGAGTTGTGATGTGGCAAAGGGGTGTGCTTAGAGCTTTTCAGCCCCTTTCCCCATTCAGGAAGACGCTCAGGGAAAAATAAAAATGGTTTTACACTGCAGGTCCCTCGACCGTGCATATAACAGTTTAATAAAGCGCGGCTCGGCCAGAAATACTTCCCTGGTGAAGAATGAAGCTATAATTATAGAAGCCTTGGTAATCGTCGAGGTGGAACAAATGTATGTTAGAAGATAAAGTTTTAAGTTTTTGTTCACAATATAGTAAAAACATTTTTTGATTGCCCAACCACTAGAAACACTTTGTTTTTGAAGAGCTATGGTGAAAGTCTCTGTCATAGCAGAAATGTTTTTCGGACCCAAAATGAGGGATGATAAGCGATGCTCCAAAGTGTGATGCCATGCTGTTATCACGTTTCAAAGCTTCCTAGTAAATCAGTGAAATTCGAATGATTGAATCTATTTCTGCAATGTAATTGCATATGAGCTCTGGTTGAGATCTTCCCAATTTCCGCCGTACATAAATTCTATTCGCAACTTTCGGTGTTACAACTTGCCAAGTCTTTTTAAGGGTTGAGGCTTATCAACCAAAAAGACACGTTTCAAACCTGTTCTTTACATAATCCACGTAGTGAAGCACGTGAGAAAGGGTTTGATATGTGCCATTTCCACACTATCATATCTGTCAGTCTCAATTTGCCTGCTTCATTTACTTAAAAGGGTTGTGCACCTAAATTCGATCAATGACTTCAGATGCCTAACGGTACGCCTACGAAGTCATCTCTGGAGTTCGCCGATGGCCAACTGTCACCAGCGTCGCTGCGGCGTCGCAGCACTCGCGCCAGCGCATTGAAAGCGCAGGAGAAGATCAAACTCAAAGACGATGTCATCGTAACGACCAATGTGGAGAGGGTATGTCTATGGCCAGTAACAATTATTGAGAGGTTGCGCTATTTTTGCGGCATTCCCATTGTTAGTCATTCATGTTTGCTGATGCGCCTCTAATGGGTGATGCTGGTATCGATTAGGCCAGTGTCAAGCTTTGCGAATCCGAATTCGGATTTGCAACGTGACACCGACCTTATTAGGCGTTTAGTTTCTAGCAGACAGCACTTTCTGCTCTCCGCGAATTCACATTTCCTCTCTTAGTCTCGCATTTCGCTGCTATAAATTACTGCGACACAAATCAATCGGTATTTGCATAGTCATCACTCGTGCTCACTTGTTTTTTTCCCCTCAGAAACCGGCATTTGAGAAAACGGCAGTGATTTAGGAGGATGTTGAGGAAAGTGGTGAATCGGCGCCGAAAAAGCGACGGCTGCAAGTTGGATCCGCTTTCGACCAGTTCAGCCATAAGTTTGGACTGCGGGTGAGTGCAATTCTAAGCGAGGGACAGTTCACCATGAAACTATTTATGAGTTCTCTTTCATTTGCTTGACTTTGGCTCCTTTCCTTTTGATACCTCCCAAAATGATGCATTAGGCCTTTGAAGCATTTCCAGCACTGCTGTTGAATGGTCAGTTTACTCGGAGGGAAAATATTGTCAGTTGTGAAATCGAAATCTAGTTTTTTCTTTCCGCAGAGCACGTATAAGTGTTT